CACTCTGAATACTAGTAAATTATATTTTTATGTAATTCCTTAACATATTTTATTGTGTAATGCTTACCTGGGGGGTATTCCATGAAGGAGGATTTCTTGCTTAGCCAGATAACTTCTTGGATTTAAGGTAGTCTGGGCTAAATGGACTTTATTTTCATTCCCCTACATTTAGCCCAGACTACCTTAAATCCGACAAGTTATCCGGCTAAGCAAGAAATCCTGCTTCATGGAACAGCCCCCTGGATAAGGATGGAAAGCATAGTCATGATCCTTTGCCACTGCATCAGGAGGTAGTGCCCCCTCTGTATTGCCCCCTGGAGTAAACGTCTCTTGAAAGTCATCCAGGACAGCACAAACAACTCGCTGGTTAGTTGACTGCCGAACTTGCCAGCCCCTTTCTAGAATTGTCGAATATGTTGATACATTTTTGATAAACATTTTCAGTCCCGTAAATATCTCAAATGTTTTACATTATACAGGTCAAATTATTGCTGTCAAAAATCAATACCTGGATGTTTTATATGTATGAATGGAAAAAAAGCAAATGCAAAATAAATATTCCGAGCTCACATTTTTTATTTAGATACAGCTGGTAACCAGGAGGATTCCACATGAGGTAAATGCGGGGGCATGGCACACAGGAGGAGCAGCACAATCAGGGCATAACAAGGAGCATTAGAAGCAGCAAATTATCAAAATTATTATTTGGCAAATCAGCTATGGTATATCTACAATTGGATTCACCCAAACCACCAGAAAAGCTCATGGTTAGAAATAAAACAATAAGAATGTAAAGTAATTTTAATCTCAATACTACTATAAAACACCATAGTAGTCTCAATAACACCATAATTGTGACAACTCTGGCAGCCTGGTGGAAAAATCAACAAAAACTTTAAACATACGCTGTAAAATGAAACTCCAATGTAGAATCATTCATCTTTAAATTTAAACACAGGTGTAGGTTTGTTTTCAGTGTTGAAAGGGGTCAAATGAGCCCCAACCCCGCCCCCCCCCTAAATGCAAACGGTACTCCCACAATAGCCAAATCTACACCCTTGAATCCAAATGACACATCCCCAGATGATCCAAATCCATGCCAGAGTTTCTGAACTTTCACGAATACCACTAAACAGACATAAAACAGTTTGCAGTGAAACTTTATTTAAGAATTAGCTTCAGTCTGGATTTTTTCTAGTTGTTTTTAACTTTTAAGTTTGGAAATGAATAACACTTAATTTTGTAGACATGGATGAAGGACAGCATGCATTTGCGTGTTCAACATAGCAGAGTATTAATAACATCCTATTAATAGCATTATTCATAGACTAATGACCAGAATAGAATCTATTACATTGTAACCATGATCGAACTTGATTTTAATGCTGTAAAACAAATATTTTAACATTTGGACATACACTGCCATTGGCTACATAAAAATATAACCTTAAGTTCACTGAGGAGTTGAAGTTACTGTTTGTTCTGTAAACATTACATAAGTTTGAAAATGTAACATACGTTGCATTATAAAAATGGAAGAACAAAAAATGTCCTAATTTCCCAAATAATCCCTTCAAACAGAATTCAGCAACAGCCTCTTTGTTGATTTTCCTGGACATTGGTTTTACCTTTTATGAAAATTGGCAAAGCACCCAGGGCACAAAGCAACAAGACACTGCATGCAGGCATACTTTGTTTTTCGTCTGCATGCACGATCGTGGCACCTCTTCGCATTTTTCGCTTCAGTAAGCCGAGGCCAGTGGTTTCCAGGGCCAAATCTCATCTCAGGGGGCACCTTAGACACAAGTCTCCGTTTCAGAGCTGCTGGGGTTGCTCTGGGTTTTTCTCTTTTGTGCATCTCAATGGAACCTGCATTGATTAATGCATGAGCTACAGATGCCTTGAAGTCCAACTGAAATGAAAAGATCGTAGTGACAAAGAGGTCAAATTCTGCTCTGTAGTCTCTTCTTCATAAGTGTTTTTATGTCTCTCAGTTAAAATTTGTATGGTTTAAACTGGTTTCACATTGAGGAGAACACACAGAGTCAGGGGTGTCATTAGACCTATTTTATGGGTCCCCCCCCCCCCATAAATGAGTATTTATTGGATTAAGTCATGAATAGCTTTTTCTATAATATACAATATATAAGTTTGCCATCGGCCCCCATAGTAAAGACTCAGCTCCGTATCCATTCATCTCTAACTATGCCCCTGAACACAGTAATGCCTTTATCTGTCATTGCTCACTGTGTTTCTCATGGAATTAACTAAAAGCAAAAAATTTCCTGTGATTAAGTATGGTATATATAATACAGTGTTCAGTTACTTTCAGGAGACAACCTATACTGACAAATACTTAAAGGATTGCAAATACAAATGCAGAATATACATTTTTTAATTTTTTTGCATCAGTACCTGTGCAGTATTAGATGCGAAGGCTGGTCTTTCCTCCACCATTGCAATTAACGAGGTACAAGGGACATGCTGCGATCCACCAACCACTGGGATGTCACACACCTAGGTATTTGAAATGTAAATGAAAAACTCCATGACTGTATTACCTTGGACCACAAAAACATCACTCCCCCTATGCTGAAAGTATAGACTGAGAACTCAAAAATTATTGGCAAGTTAAAATTAAAAAAGAATTACAGTCATGTTCAGTTTATCCTGCCCAGCAACATCTTGTGCATACAATAAAAAGAGATGAACCACTTAGAACACATCTACAGTTTCCATTGTTAGACAACCCAGTCAATAAGTCTAAAATAAAATCAGAATACATTATATATTTCTTTTTATAATTTTATTTGCACAGTATAGTCTACTCATAGTCGCATTTCACTGTATACCCAATGTACATGTAACTAATAAAACTTTTGACCAGTGTTAATTTTGTCAACAAAAATCTTGACAATAAGTATTCACTGACGACTCCTTATTTCATGACTAAACTGTAATGACAACGGACATAAAAAAAAATGGTTGACAATGAAAATGACAGTTAAGACTATTCCTTATGCTGTAATGAGTAAAGAGGAGATGATATTTTTGGCTCTGTTTGTGCAGACAACCTACATCACACAAGCCATCTCAAAGCATTGGTTGTTACCCTTTTTTTACATCCTGTAGGCGTGCAAGGTGCTGTGACTGGCAAGAGGTTAGGGGAAACCCAAGGGAGGAATTTAGAAAGGTGTAAAAAGTTCAGTTTGTTTATGAACTGCTCTTAGAGTTCAGGGATACACACACACACAGACACACACGTGTGCAAGGGTCAACTTGGAGGTATCTTCCTGAAACTGAGCTAAGCAAACTATCTAGTAAACAGAAGGAAAGACACACGCTTAATGCTTGGTCCTAAATGCCACACTAATGTCCCTTTTTTGTCATTGCAGCAATTTTACTGGATTATGTACTTTCTGTCTGTGAAGGACTATTATAAATTGTGAAGACAGGTTTTGCACACGGTTACATGGGTGTTTGATAGGTGTTTAGATGCCCTAATAACAAAAACTATTACAGTACAAAATGGCCATACAGTTCAATTTGATGGGTGTTTTAATGCCCTAATAACAAGAATGAAACAGGGAAAGGTATGTGTTGTTGATGTATGCAGAAAAAATACAACCTCTGAAGGAAATATGATTATATTGCACTTTTTCTGACAAACTTTATGCATTTCTATATATGAAAGTAGTACAGTAAGTCAGTAACACGTTCTCAGCTTAGATAACTAAGCATCATAGGGTATCCTCATGTAAAAGGCATGCTTGCTTCTCAAGGGAATTTACAGTCCATTTCAGTATCATTAACCTACTTGAGAAAATTATGACTAAAAATTAGACTAAAATTAAACCTGAGTTCCACTGACTAAATCTCAAGTAAAACAAAACAAGACTAAAATATGACTTTAATCCAATTAACATTTTCCATAAGTGACAAACTAAATTTAAAACTCTTGCCAAAATTAGCACTGCTTTTGACTTGATTTGAAAATACTCAGTGTGCATGGAAAATCTGTGAAACTAAATAAGGATCGCAATTAAAATTAAGTTAAATTTACCCGTTATGGTAACATCTTTTGCAGACTCTGAAGAATGAAGCTCCAGGGACACCTCTAGAGACGAGTTTAGATCTAGACACTAGACCAGTAGACCTAGACAGGCTTAGAACCTACGTGTTGCTTTGGACAAGTGTGAAATAATAACTGTACATAACAATGGAATAGAGGTACCCACTGCAGCACCATTCCATCACTCTTCCCACTGCCTAACCTGATCCAAGGACCTGGAGCTTATTCCAGGCAGCGCAGGGCATAAGTTCATCCATCCATACCTGCTTATCCTCAACAGGGTTGTGGAGGTGCAGAGCCTATCCTGGGCAATACGGGTGCAAGACAGGGACTAACTCAGGTGTGGGGTTCCAACCCATCAAAAGACACACACAGATACAGACTGCAATGTCTGTGTATTTGTGTGTAAGTGTAAACAGAATAGTGATACTTTATTGATCCCCATGGAGAAATTCTCTTTTTGCCTATCCCAGCTTGCTCCCAGCTTAGGGGTGGGTCAAAGCACAGGGTCATCCAGTGTACAGACCCCCAGGTGCTGGGGGTTAAGGGCCTTGCTCAAGGGTCCACAGACATGTGACAATTCTGCCAAAGCCAGGGGTCAAACTGGCAACTTTCCTACCATATATACAGGGGCTTAGCCTGCTGAGTCACATACTACACCCAATTCTGCATATACCTTCACAGCGGACATTATATGGATAACGTACCATCTTATCACCCTCATTGTCAGCAAATATTTTACAACTCCTGGCCTTTTATACCTGCAAAATAAGACACTGGCAGCATTGTACACATAATACAAAGCACATTGTAGGATTGAATGGATTTTACAGGAGCATCCAAGAAGCTGCAACCTAATCTAAGCCCAAGTTCACTTATCGTGAAATTTGTCTCAGATCACTGTCAAAGAATTCACTCAATTAGCCAATAGAATGAGGATAGTTTATTGAGGCTCAAAAAGCAATGCAAGGAAACGCAAGAAGCCATAACCCATATTCCACACCCCAAAGATTCCCCACACTTGTATTTTCTTGATACATACAGCTCATCATGATACAACACTCTCAACCAATCACATTAACATTCAATATGCTTTAATCACTCAGGGCCCAGTTGTTCAATCAATTTAATCCAGATCAAAGTAATCCGGATTTTGAAATCCCTTGTTTTGCGATCGAGGATTTGGTAATCCATTTTACTTTTATGCTGGTTTTTCCAAAGCAACACTGGATCACTGTTATCCAAATACAGAATTTTCAGGATTACCAAATCCGGTTTATTAGTGCATTAAATGGAACCCACAGTGTAGCCTACTGGCTCTGTCAAGAACAACAGGTACAGTAGACCTAAAATACCAGTGGCCACAAATAGCCATTATGTGTTTTAATTTGAACAAACAGAAAAAACCACAATAAACCAAAGCAACCTCCAATGTTCTCTCCAAAAGAGGGACAGACTGGCCATGCGGTTAGGGATGCAACTGTAAGACATTACTTCTGACTGATGAATTGAGTAATAGTAATTATTAGGGGTGTAACGATATACTAAGCCCATGAGACGAGACACGATATTGGGTTCGCGAGAACATAATATTTTAACAATATTTTAAGGAAAACTTCCTTATATATTACTGGAAAGCAGCCATTTATTTGATTAATTTGAAAGACAAAAAATGCTAAGTGCTGCAGATGTATGGTGAAATGTTTTAAATAATCACCATCATCATATGCAGTAAAGAACAGAACAAATATCTAACACCATAAAATATTTCACCACAAACTCAAATGACAGGCTTCTCTGCTATTTCACTTCTTAATTGAACATAATAGAATATAAATAAAACAATATAAATAAACAAAGCTTTTCTTGGTATCATTTAAATAAAAAGAGTTATGATGGTGCTGTATATGGCTTTGCAAAGTAGCGTTAGCCGCTGTGTACGGCATTATTTTCCAACAATGCCTAGAGATGGTTCGTGTTTTGTCTGTCACCCTTTCCCCGTTTATATATTTCCGGCAGATACCCATAATGCTGCCACACAAAAGATTTAAAAGTGTCTGGGGCATCTACTATGGTAATTTCGTCAGACGCCGACATGCTTACAGCAGCTGATTTGCAGTGCCTTTGCGAGATCGTTTTTCATTTTGACGAGAAATCTAGTCATGTTGTAATATCGCAAGATCTCATGACACCCCTAGTAATTATTGTCATTTTCATTAAAATGCAATGGATAGCAGAACTTTTTGCTTTGATATTGTGCTTGAGTACAGATCTCTCACAAGGATTTTTTTCCCCTCGACTACAGTATATCGAAAGGCTTCATGTCTTATTTCCTACTTTATTTTCACTGCCACTGTCCTAGTTCAACAATTGTACAAAATATAAATTAATCTATACATCAGCAAACATTGCTTTTGTGATCAATTTTCAAGTTTTATTTAATTTTGTGCCAGAAATCCACCCTTATGTTGGGATCAGGGTTATCCTGATTTTTTGGATCAAACATATCCCAATTCAAACACAAACTTTCGAACAACACAAAGTGAAGCTCTGATCCAGATTAAAACCGATATTGGATTAGGTGATCTGATCTGATTTCAGAATCCCTCTTTTCCCTTTGAACAACCCGTTTTCAAGATTCAATCCAATCCATTATCTGAAATCCCACTGGATTACTTTTGAACAACTGGGCCCAGGCGTCCGTCAGAAGAAAGCCTGCACATTTACTGTCATCTCACCATATATGGATACATGCGCACAAATATTTGTGCACCATGCTCCACATGGCTACCATGAAATCTTCTTTTGTCCCCTCAGAAGATGGCACCCGAGGGGACTGTATTTGTCTCCTAATGGGTTGACCAGCACAGCAAAGAGGTGGAATAATGGGCCCCAAACAAATGCCCTACTGTCACTAACGAGTGTGAATAGCTAGATGTCTTTTAAACTGACTTGACTGAATAAAGCGCTTCCCGCAGTAGGGGCAGCCAAATGGTTTCTCCCCTGTGTGGACTCGCAGATGTTCTTTCATGTGTCCTGACTGGGTGAATCGCTTTCCGCAAACCGTGCATCCGAAGGGTTTTTCTCCAGTGTGAATCCGCAGGTGTGCCTTCAGTTTCCCCAAATAGGCAAAGGATTTTCCACACACGCTGCAGCAGTTTTTTTCTTTTCCCGAGTGAGTTCCCTCATGCAGTTTTAACTGAGCCTGTTTTTTAAAACTCTCCCCACATGTAGCACAGGTATACTGTCTCTCACTTTCGTGAACCAACAAATGCAGTTTGAGATCACTCAACTTACTGAAAGTTCTGCCACATCGGAGACAGGAAACTATACTCACTTCTCTACTGGAGTCCTGGTCATTAGGCTCTGGCATTACTCCACCATGGTCCATCCAGTTTCTTTCTGCACAGTTTTTACTTTCAGCAGTATTACTGTTATTATTTACTCTGTTTAGTGGCTGTGAGGCAATGGATTGTTTTTGTATACTGTAATCCAGTTCATCCGGCTCAGACTTAATCTGGTCAGGTAACATATGAGGAAGACACCCCACTTCTTCATTGTTCTCCTCAAAAGGAAGTGAGGTTTGGAGGATCCTGAGTTCAGAAGGATTTTCAGTACACGTGAGGGCTGATGCCTGCTTGTTCAGGTCCACGACTCCCTGCTCTGGTTTGCTCTCATGCTGCTCGGGGAATTCCTGCTTAATGTCAGTCTGCTGAGGTTCCCTCTCCTCCTCCAGGCCGGAGTTACACTGTTGCTCATGGGGTTGTTGACCTTGAGGAGCCGCTCCAATGGAGACGAGGGGAGCAACATGGTGGGCATCATCTGTAGAAGAAGAGAGAGGATATAAAAATAAAGGCTGATTTATACTTCTGCATTGAATCAATACTGTAAGTATGGCATAGCCATGGATCCTACGACATACATTCTAGGGAGGTGCACATGAGGGTAACTACACGTTGCAGTGACGCAGACCACAAGAACTGTAATTGGTCAGTTGGTCCACCTCAGGTGTACATATAACACTGATTGAAAGTGCTGTTTATATCTAGCATTAAATAACCCACCCTAGGCATCATAGGAACAGGTCTACAAAACACTCAAGATGACAGAGCCAATTTAACTTACCTCCATTAAGTTTACTCATACTTTAAAAGACTTTTAAAAAGTAGTATAGACACTAACCTTAGTAGGGAAAATGCATAAAGAGTGACTTGGTAGCAGCTCAACATTTTTCCAGATTTGTCTATTGGAAGTTTAGAGCAGCACAAATGTAACCAGGATTCCATATATGGATACTTTTAATTAGAGCTGGGCAACGTGGCCAAAAATATCATCACGATAAAAAAAATCATATCTGTTGATATCGATAATTATCGTGATAAATGTTTCTCTCCAGTTTAAAGGATGATTTTTAAAATCGAAGAAACGAGATGGTTAATCGTAGTTATAAACTATACTTCATCTTCAGAACTTAAACATGTGCTAAACAGTAGTGATGGCCAATATGATGCTTCTGGAACATTTTGCTATATTTTCTGTCCCCACTAGATGGAGCTCTCTGTTAAAAAAAAAAAAAAGGGTTCAAAGCATGCCAAAAATTAAAAAAGCGCCACGTGTACCAAATAGCATTTCGCATTTTACAAGTCTGACATAGAATATGAGAATGCCCTACTGCATTCTGTTTTGGTGAAAAATCACAGAGCAGGGACAACGCATGCTGAGGGACACAGTGTGCAGAAGTCACTAACTGTCTGGAGAGTCAATAGCTACAGACCTCCAAACTTCGTGAGACCTTCAGATTAGCTCAGGAACAGTGTGTAGAGAACTTCATGGAATGGGTTTCCATGGCTGAGCAGCTGCATCCAAGCCTTACATTACCAAGTGCAATGCAAAGCGTCGGATGCAGTGGTGTAAAGCGCGCCGCCACTGGACTCTAGAGCAGTGGAGACGTGTTCTCTGGAGTGACGAATTACATTTCTCTGTCTGGCAACCCGATGGATGAGTCTGGGTTTGGCAGTTGCCTGGAGAACTGTACTTGCTTAACTGCATTGTGCCAAATATAAAGTTTGGTGGAGGGGGGATTATGGTGTGGGGTTGTTTTTCGAGGGTTGGGCTTGGCCCCTAAGTTCCAGTGAAAGGTCTCTTAATGCTGCAGCATTTGAAGCCATTTTGGACAACTTCATGCTCCCAACTTTGTGGGTACAGTTTGGGGATGGCCCCTTCATGTTCCAACATGACTGTGCACCAGTGCACAAATCAAGGTCCATAAGGACAAGGATGAGCAAGTCCAGTGTGGAGGAACTTGACTGGCCTGCATAAAGCCCTGACCTCAACCCGACAGAATACCATTGGGATTAGTTGTCAACAGAGTTATCTCCTCGTTTCCCTAGCGCTCAACTTCCACACCTGTGAGTCCATTTAGGTTGTATTTGATTCCACAGTTTACAGCAGGTTTAACTAGGTAAAAAGATGGTGGGGTGGCTGTACTTTTTGCTGATTAATGTCCGACTCGTTAATTTGGTAATATAGTTATTTTTATTCGTTAAGGATTCTTTTAATTAGTTTCTGTTCTCCTTTCAGTTTTATTTTACGGTAATAAAACTGGTCCCAACAAGCCCAACGCGCACAAACATACACTGGCACCATCAACGTAGAATAAACCCAGATTTTAGCCTAAACATTTTCTCGAACACTTATTCAATTTTAATTATTAGGTAGCAAGTAGACAACAGGCTTTAATCATTAGTATTTAACAACTGCAAGAACAAAAGATACTAAGAAGCTCTCCGTATTAATGGAAATTTAATAAACAAACATACAACAATTAAGGTGGGGTTTTGCCTATTCTGGCGGTCCATCATCCAGAATAATGCCTGTGTGTTTTCCCTTGAGTTGCTCCTGCATAGTGGTAGTGCCGCCATAGTATGCAATCGAAATTTTGCAGTGTATAAACCACCTTTTTGTTTAGTGATACTTTTAACTACTCACAGAATTACCTGGCAATATTAAAGAAAAACATTTATTACAATGGACTGAAGATGTTTCCAAATCATAAACGATAAACGATTAGTTTAGACTAGGGTTATTCAACTCACGGTCCTCGAGGTCCGAGCACTGCTGGTTTTCCAGCCTTCCTTTACCTGTCAGTCAGGTGTAAAGCCTCTGACCAATCAGAATCAGTAATTATTAAACAACTACCTGGGAGAACTGAAAACACGGCCTGGATTTTGAATCGAAATCCAGAGTTGAAGAACCCTGGTTTAGACAGTGTATTCATAACAGAATGGAGGTATACACATTTTCAAGGACCAGAACAAAATAATGTTATGTTGATTTTTGCAGCATAATTCTCAGAACCGATGCGACTATTGTCAAATAATCAAGCGAAGGGATTTTATTTAACCTTCAGTGCAAATATTAAACAGCGCAATACTGAGGAGCCCAGGGCCTGCCTTACCTTTTCCGGGGCATTAGGCGAAGTAACTAACTTTAGTGAAAAAATGAGCTTGCAGTCCACCTTCCTCTATGATGAATACGTTTTAAAAGACATAAAACAGCAACATCATCAATAAATAATAATAATAATTATTATTAGAATCTGTTCTTTCCATAGCGCCTACTAGATCCAACTACTTTTGAATTTGGACTTCGTCTTCTCCCAGTAGTGCTTATTTAAATACTATTAAAATAATTTACTCACCCAAAAATTCAAGATTTGCTTGGACCCCGATCTCTCGAAGCCTCCGTCGAAGTTCCTCGTTTTCCTTAATCGTTCGAGCAGTTTCTTTCTGGTACTCCGAAATCGTATTTCCCACTACTTCTAGTATCTCTCGAGCTGCCACCATTAAACGCTCAGTTAAATAAGCGTTTAAATTCTGCAATCTTGTCATTTTAATATTTTGAATGTAGTGTACCAGCGTCTAAGCAAAGCAGTGCGAAGCTGGCAAGAAAAAGGGAGAGACTTCCGGTTGCTATTCTTACTTACTGTGTCAAAATAAAAGTTCAGTTTTCATACGCAATTAATGCATTTGACTGTAGTTACGTTTATGTATAAGTATTAATAAATTAGGAAAATTGTACATTTACCATATTTTATACTATATATAAATATATATATATGCAGTGGCGGTTTTTGATATGGGCGACATGGGCCGCTGCCCAGGACGGCATCATGGGCATCGGCAAAAATGTTTTTTGTTTGTTTGTTTGTTTGTTTGTTTGTTTTTTCTTCCGTTTCTTGCTTAGCTCTTATGCCTTGTCCACACAAACACGGGTATTTTTTAAAACGGTGTTTTTCCTCCTCCGTTTTAAAAAAAAAATCCCCATCCACACGAACATTGTCTTCTAAAATATTTCCGTCCACATAAAACCGCTAAAATGCGCTGTCAAAAGCATGCCAAAACAACAGGCGGCATTATAACTCTAACCGTACTGCCATGTTAGCCAATCAGAAGCCTATATTGCCAGTCCTATTGAAAACAATGGCGCACATTCCGACGCCTGTGTTGATCAATATAATGCGAGAGTAACTCAACATGTAACCGTTTATGTGTGGACAAAAGCCCAAGACATATAGAAAAGGGTACGTTTTTTAAAAATACCCATGTACGTGTGGACAAGGCATTAGTTTCCCTGTTTTAGTTCCCTGAGTTAATTAGTTTCACCTGTGACCTGTTTTCCCAGTCTTTGTTTATTAGTCTCACCTGTCCTGTGTTAGTCTTGTTACCCAGTTTTAGTTTCAGTATTTAAGTCCCTGCTTCTGTTCTGTTCCCCAGTGTTTTGTTGTTTGATGTGTATTCTGTTTTTATTTAGTCTTTATGTATTCTCTTTAGTTTTTGACTCGTCGGTCCTTTTGATTTTGTTGTGTTTGTAGTGTTTTCTGTTTTGTTTAATAAGCCCTGTTTTTGTTCTTGGAGCTGCCAGTGGGTTGTCCACCTTTTGTGCCTGTGTCATGCCATTTCCCCGCTCCAAGCCGGCCCGGCTCCTTGACACATACAAAAACGTAAGTGTCAGCATGTGCTCCTCTAAACACTGCGAAGAGGCTCAGTAGCGGATTACCTTATGCACTGTTACTGTAGTGAGACCTTGTGTTTATATGAGTCCATACTGACCAGTCTGTTTTGTCTCGCTACAGATGAATGTTGATGGACTCTACAAAGCCATGGGGGAATTGGACTTGCTTTTTAACCCTCTGAAGTCTAGTGGTAGGGAACACACTTTCACTGACTGGGGTTGTATTAAGGATTGTACATTAACATATTTTATTGTTGGAACCATACTGAATTTAACCAGATAAACATATGTATTATATTGCATATAAATTGGAAGAAATAGAACTTTAAATATAAAACAAGCGCACACACAGAAGTGAAAATATAACAATTATATTAAATAAGTATAAAAGGCAGATACAATTAAAATAAGGCATTCCTAAATTGCACAATTAACATGATTGCACTTCGCACAACATACTGGTATGAAATAATTGTCATCAATAATGTCATATGAAATCTGGTCAGCAATTGCATGATTGAGGCTGATGATGGCAAGGCCAGTGAGGCGTTCCTGAGACACAGTGGACCTCAGATATGTCTTCACAAGTTTCAGCTTTGAAAAGCTACTCTCTGCTGAAGCCACAGTTGCAGGTGGAGTAACTGCAATTCTCAGAGCAGTCCACAAATTTGGGTATATTTCTGAGAGTTCACTGTCATGCACAAAGTTCAGCAGCTCAAGAGAGGTCATAGATTTTGATGGTAAGTCAGGCAAATTCTTAATCTCCTGTGCAAGCTCTCTGGCGTCCAAGTCTGATTGGTCCTAAAAAAGCAAAGCAGCACTGAGGGCCTTACCCTGTTCAGTGAGGTCATCATTTGAAAAATTTGGAAAATGTGTCAGTATTCCAAATCTCTCTCTCACATTTTCCAATGTGGTGGATCTCTCTTGGATGGAAGACATTAAAAAAGGTCACCTCCAGCTTCTTTAGGGCATCACTCAATGGCTCAACAAATGATTCGTAAGAGAAGTGCCGCTTTGTAGATCTCTGTAGTGTTTTCTGTTGCAGAACAGCCTCTACCTTCATGTTCTCACACATATCCTTGGCTGACATTTGTGCAGATGCAAAGCCTGTTGCCCTGTAGTTGCGGAGACCTCTCTGTCTTTTTGAGGCGCTTGATCACTACATCCACATACATGTTGGGAGACTGTATGCGCTTGCTCACATGATGGGTTTGGTTCAGGATGTCATACCACACCACTGTACAAATGCTAAATCTGTATGATCCCACCTCAGACAAAGACTGGGCCTCAATCTTTATGACTGAGTCTTTGGTGTGGTCTCTCACCTCAATCAAAGCCTCTCACTGCAGATGCTTGGCACCTCAGGGGCTCAACGCTGTTGATCTTACTTTCCCACCTTGTTTCAGACCACATCTTCAGTATAATGTTAGCATGTTTTTTCAGGATGGCCCATCTCTGAGTGGAGGCTGAAAACAAATTGTAAAGTTTTTGCAAAATCTCAAAGTAAGTTGTGGCATCAATAGATCCATTTGCAGCATCAGAGAACTGGCATGCTTCCAATCTGTCAGTCCAGAACTTGTTAAATTGATGTGTCTTTTAGAAAACAGCTTGCAGCAGAAGGCTGTTGTTTTTCTCATATACTAGCCAGCTTCTATGCATCTTTTCACCACTAACTAGTGTTTTCTTAAAATACTGGTGGTGGCACCTTCTTCCATCACCCTCATTTCTAGGGAAAACAAAGTCGGGTGCTACCTTACTTGGTCCTTTGCAAACCAGCTGTATTTGAATGCTGTCAGTGATATCTGAAGGCCAGTTTGCAGGGTCCGTAGGCAGGGGCTCATACTCAGGCGGTTCAGCTCCAGGCATTTCTATGAGCATACATTTGCATTAGTATAGACAAGTTATTTGGAATACACAGCATTCATAGTGGCAGAACAGTCTTTGCAAAATATTATGCACACACACACACTCAGGCTACACACAATCTCACCTGAAGTGGCCGCAATTGGGTCTTCATCCTCGGGATCAGACATTTGTGGAGACACATATGTGGCAGAGGAGGTGGACGGCTCTTCATCTTGGGCAGAGTGTGCTCCAAAATATTTCAGAAGTGCCCCTAAATAGAAACCCAATATAAAACTCTGATACATGCATGCATCATTTTCATAATTAAAACAAACATATAATTTTGCCCAATTTATCAAATATTCATAATTATATGTATAACAAGCATTTTATTGAATAGGCTATCACAACATCAGTGTTTGGAAGTAATGCATTACTCTGTAATTACAGTAAGAACTTTCCTAAATAATGTAGCCTAATAGTGTAAGGGATTTTTTTTTTTTTTTTTTAAGTCAGCTAGACTACTACAGAATACTAACGTCCGGTTATAGCGTAGCATAGTATGCAAACGGCTAACAAACAGCCATTATAATTCGTCATACATTGAGAATAGGAGACAAATCAACAATACACCTCTTCCAATTAATGGCTAATTAATATTATGCTGAACACGGTCCAAAAGATTCAATAAGCCACATCAGTGTCTACTGTCTGTCTGTTTACTATCATAGCCAAGTGGCTAACAAACGTAAACAGGAGTTTTCCCTATCCCTACTGATTAATGTTACATTGTTTCAGGATACATGTCATGCATAATACCTGCCATTATCCAATGACACATCTGCTTACCTTTATCTTTTGCTCGTTTCTCCTCCTCTTCTTTTCTTTTTTTTCTAAACTCAGCGCCTGATGGCTTTGACCTTTTCTTGTCCATCTTCCATCGGTGTTAATTTTGCACTCCAGTATCAACACCCATCCCCCAACCCGAGAATCACCACAACGTAAACTAATAGACCTACACCTTAGTGCGAAGATTCGGTTTGTATAGGGTTTTTTCCTGCGATTTCGCACAACCCAAGAAAAATTAATTGTGACATAATGGGCTTGGATTGGCA